TCCATGCTACCAGCCAGCCTGCTCTGCTGCCACGCCAGCATCGTCTCACTGTCTTGATCATTCTCGACATCCATGGTCGCCTGCTGCATGCTGGTCCAAGCCACACCCTCGCACAGCTTCGCCTCAACTTCTGGGTTCCTCATGGTCGTCAGGCTGTTCGCCATGAACTGAAGCTATGTCTTGTGTGCCGTCGTCAAGACTCGCCACCCTATCGTCTTCCGTTGATGCCGCCTCTGCCTGCTGAGCGTGTCAACCCTGCTCATCCATTTGAGTTCACCGGTCTGGACTACTTTGGACCATTGCTCATCAAGCAGTCCGACTCCTCCACGACCAAGGTATGGGTCTGTTTATTCACCTGTTTCGCTATCCGTGCTGTCCATCTCGAGTTCGTGGATGACATGTCCACAGCTGCCTTCATCTCTGGCTTACGTCGCTTCATTGCTCGTCGTGGCGTACCGCGTCTGTTGTATTCTGACAACGCCAGCCAATTTCACCTCGCCAGTTCTGCCGTGCCGGATGCCTGGTCCTCTCTACCGTCTGACCCCGTCCTAGGCGAGTTTCTCTCTCAACGTCAGATCACGTGGAAATTCACCACTGCACTCGCCCCATGGCAAGGTGGTATTTATGAGCGCATGGTTGGCCTTGTGAAGGGCTGCATGCGGAAAGTTGTTGGCCGGCAGTTGCTCTCGCTCCCACAGCTCCTCACCTTGCTGGCTGAAGTTGAAGCTGTCGTCAACAACCGCCCACTGACTCCCGTTTCGGCTGACGATGAAGGTCCTGGTCTTCTCGTGCTCTCTCCAGCTCACTTCCTCGTTGGTGGTCGACCCACGCTGATCCCTGTCGACACATCCTCTGCTGATGATCCCGACTATTCGCCTGATATCAGCTCCCGGGATCACATCTTGCAGTGGTGGAGGGCGTCCCAAGTTCTCTTGGAACGTTTCTGGAAATGCTGGCGGACTGAGTACTTGCAATTACTCAGGGAACGTGCGAACCCTGATCACCGCCAGCCCAAGACGTCTCTATCCGGCCAGCCACAGGTCGGGGAGATTGTCATTGTCAAATCCGAAGGCATACCACGTGGCCAGTGGCACATTGGCAAGGTAACAGCGGCTAACGCTAGTGCGACAGATGGTTGCGTCCGCTCAGCAGAGGTCCTGATGCCGTCTGGCCGCACAGTGGAACGCCCACTATCGCTGCTGTATCCACTCGAGGTACCCAGCACCCGGCAGGATGATGCCCCCGCAGTCATCAGCAGCCAGCAGTCAGATAATGCTCCTGGAGTGCAAGCACCACCGCCATCAGCAACCCGCCCGAGGCGCAAGGCTGCCGATCAGGCACGCCAAAACATCGCTAGATGGACGGCTTGTAACTTCACGGCGTTAAGGTAAGTATAACTTATTATATTTCTACGCTTTAGTTCACAATCTTCTTTGTTCCTTTCTCTTTCTAGTGCATTCACACTTCTGTTTGGTGGGAGTGTCGAGAACTGCCGTTCACGAATATTTGAAATACATATAAATTTAGTGTTCACGTCTTACTTGAACTTCCTGTAGTTTCAGTCTGCAACTCCGTCGTCTTTCTCCTTTTCTAACTCAGTCTTTCCATTATCTGACAGTGGTGCTCTCACCTCTAGCGAGGTGCAAGCACCCTCCGCCAGACGCGAACTACATTCTTGTTTCTCTAAAGACTCTCAAATATATTTCTTCTTCGCGTTCACTTTCGTTCTGCAGTTTATTTATTTATTTTCCTTTCTTTCTACCTAGTACCTCGTGGTACACGCGCTACATGTGCCACCATCTTTGTTTCCATGGCACCACAGTGCACCTGACCACGCGATCGCTACGCAGCTCAGGCCCGAATGGGTCCGGGTGCGCTGCTTCGCGATCTATTTGGCCTCGCTTGCTTCCGAGCACCGCCGTTTTCGGAGCGTACTCATTGTGCGTCTCAGTTCTTTTCTCCGTTGTTTGTATCTCCTTGTTATTGGTTATTCTTCTTCTTGACTGAAGTGTAGTTGATGAATGAACGATGGTGGTTTGTGTTGTAGTAGTGTGAGTGTGTGCATGGTTGGAAAGGTCTTCTACATTCTATAAATAATCAAATCGATAAGATTTTGACAGATAATGCTCCAAATAATGCTGATAATGCTCCGAATAATGCTGATAATGCTCCAAATAATGCTGATAATGCTCCAAATAATCCTGATAATGCTCCAAATAATGCTGATAATGCTCCAAATAATGCTGATAATGCTCCAAATAATGCTGATAATGCTCCAAATAATGCTGATAATGCTCCAAATAATGCTGATAATGCTGCAAATAATGCTGATAATGCTCCAAATAATGCTGATAATGCTGCAAATAATGCTGATAATGCTCCAAATAATGCTGATAATGCTGCAAATAATGCTGATAATGCTGCAAATAATGCTGATAATGCTCCAAATAATGCTGATATTGCTCCAAATAATGCTGATAATGCTCCAAATAATGCTGATAATGCTCCAAATAATGCTGATAATGCTCCAAATAATGCTGATAATGCTCCAAATAATGCTGATAATGCTCCAAATAATGCTGATAATGCTGCAAATAATGCTGATAATGCTCCAAATAATGCTGATAATGCTCCGCCGGATGGAATATAAACACCTGAACCTTGCGGTATTGGGCTAAGAAAAACGCTATAATTTAGCACCCATGCTATGATAAACACATAATACAATATCAGGTAAACATGTATGCTAGGTACAAACACATACAGTCATATTGAGGCGGCACAAAGAGGATACGCCTATAAGGACTCCTTGACCAGCTTCTGCCTCTGAGTTTCCCTCTCCAAACGGGACTTTCCTTGTTTATGTCTCGCGTTAGCAATATGGGACATGATTATACTCTTCTTCCCTGACAATATTGTATGGCATGCCAGGCACACTAACTTGCCACAATCGCTTTTGAGCGGCTCATCTGGGAACTCCCGCACCCGTGTTTTGGCACTGATGGCCACTTCAGTGCTCCGAGGCTGTCCATGAGCTACTCGCGTCCTTTTGGAAACATTTTCAGACTTGGTAATAATTTGACGACGTCACTATCGTCAGAGGACTCCGCCAAAAGCTCATCTGGAGAAAGCCCAGCTTCATCCCAATCCCAAGAACGGCATCGCGGCGAATCAGCCATCAGCGTTGGCTGCTAGTTAGCTGGTCTTACACAATGGTCAATGTCCGGTGAATGTCCAGCGTTACTCTTCGACAAAAACATGGAAACTTGCTTCGATGAAGAATGTTTTTTGTAACATTGTGGACGGTAATCGGGCTAGGTCTGGAATGTGTGCGTGTGCACACCTCCACCGTTCCATGCTGGCTCACATTTGTTTCGTTGGTTCGGCGTTGTTACCATGGTTACCTGGATCTTCAAAAAGTAAGTAACAGCAGTGTTGTTAGTTGCTGGCCGTCGTGGCCGAAGATAGATTTCCGGGACCGGAAGTTTCTGCGAGAGTTTCAACACTGTGCTGGACCACAGCTAGCTAGCAATACTGGGCCTGGCACTGCGTGCCGCGACCTGTTTGGTACCATTCATGATGTGTACGGTAGTCTATCGCTTGTAGTAATACATCGCCTTTCAAAGATCAACGCTATAGCAGATACGAATGTGTACATGACGAATTGACGATGCGTGTATATCTACTATGCAGTCATGTAGAACGTCGTATAATGCCATTTTTGGCCTCGTAATGCTTAATAATTCTTGTAATGCTCCGGGTGGTGTTTTTTTCTTCTTCTTTTTTTTCTACAAAATCCGCATATCTCCAGACACTGGGGTGAATGGTGGAGTGTGGTGGTGGGGCCCATTAAGCTCTGCCGACCAGAGGTCCCGGCTTCATAGCTCCATGGACGCACCAAAGGGATATTGGTAGGGAGGATTAAATTGAAAAAGAAAACAGAAGAAAGAAAATGGAAAGATTGTATAATGCTCGATATAATGCCAGCTTCATCCGCCAACACCTACAGCATTGCCTACATACACTGACTGGCTCACTGACAACGTGAGAGATCAGCTGCTACACATAAGTAAGAGAGCACTTAGATGCATTTCCGAGCATAAAATATTCCCGCGCACGTCATACTTTCTCAAAAGGTACCACATAATTAGCCTGGACACAATAATATTATATCATACTAAGTCCACATTCTTCGTGTTCCGTTGTATCCACAATTTCTGCAGCTCACTCCTCTCTCTCTGACATGGTCTCCCTTCGCCGTGACTGCACTCGCACAGATAGAGTCACCCGCTGACCAGTAAATAATCCCCACCCCCCCCCCCCCCTAACCCGCTGTGCAAAAAGAAGCCGGACACAAATATATTTCTTTCCTTGATGCTCACAGCTTTGATGCGCTTCCAGAATGCCTTCGCACTATTCATATCCAAAATTCATTTCTCCTGAAACTTGACACATTCTTGTGCATCTTGTGCACCCTGTCAGAAGACCTTAGTCTCTGTTGGGAATGCCCAAGTACAAAATAAATACAAATACAACCCGCATTATGGTCCCGTATCAACGTGTCCGAAACATCCATCTTCTTTCGGACAATGAAGAACCAAAATGCTGTCTATCTCTCGGATGTCACAGGTTGTGCAGTTTTCACGTTCTGGGTGAAGATAGTTGGACAAACTTCAAACTTATAGGTCAGGGAAGTGCTGCTGTCGATAGAACCAAAACCATTTCAACCTCTCCAGGACTCAAAACGGGGACACTGCCTTTCATGAATGATACACTCACCATCTGAGCCATGTAACTAGGCCACACCTAGAAGAGGTATGCATGTGGCACATTTTAGGTGCTATTTGATTAAAAAGCTTCCAACAGCTCTGGAGACATGAGTTGGTGAGAACCTTCTATAACAAAATGGCTAGTGCTTATTTGAGAAATATTAGTAAACTATAAATAAACTGAAGAAAAGGCGAAAACTAACATTCTTTTTTCAACGGTTTCTCACTTACCTGTGCAAGATATGCCATCACCTGTGTACCCAGATATACACGTGCAATGATGTGATCCAATTGAGTTGTTGCATGTGGCATCAGAACTGCAATTGTGTTTATCATCTAGGCATTCATTTTGGTCTAAGGAAGAAAAGTGAAATACATTAAGCGGGAGGGTATTACAGAAATAAAAACGAGGAAAATAATCGTAAAATGGCAATAAATAAGATAAATTGTGCACTCATAAAAACAGCAAAAATTAAGAAAGTCAAGTTCCATAACGTTTTCTTGTGACTGTCATCAGTGGAACGCCGTCACATAAAAAATGCAATAACTAAAACACACACTTATATACATGTAGCTAATATGGTTTCAGGTAGAAATACAGCAGCTAACAAGTACAAAAAGCAAAGTTTGCACCTTTGCAATGTGTGAATATAGTGTATGTGAGAAAGGTAGTGGCAGATGAATATGACTTTCTTCATTTTTGCTGTTGTTATGAGTGCACAATTTATCTTATTTATTGCCATTTTACGACTATTGTCTCCTCGTCGATTGAGGAAAATAATGTGTGTGTAAAACAGGCCTTAATTATTTCAACGAGCCCCTTGAAATTTAGACAACTGTCATTGTACTATCATGCCACACAACAAAGTAGTCTCAAAAGAGGTTTACCAAAAATCGATTTTCTTTTGGCTGTCTCCACTAGATTGTCATGACTGAAGAATAATATTGTACAGCATTTTAATAAAATTAATGATTATAGGAGTGACACAATTATTCAAAAAAGTGCGAAAAAGAGCGGGAACAAAGAGGTGAGAACAATCTTAACTGCAACAGATAGAGACTATAAAAACTAAAGAAATGATTAAATGTCCTGGACTGTTACATTCGGAAGTAGGTGGCAAAGGCAAAAAACTAAACATTCGTGTTGCAAGCGTTTCTAGCTTACCTGTGCAAGATATACCATCACCTGTGTACCCAGATATACACGTGCATTGATATGATCCAATTGAGTTGTTGCATGTGGCATCGGAACTGCAAGTGTGTATACCATCTAGGCATTCATTTTGATCTGAGAAAGGTAAAGATAACAAATAATTATAGTAAAAAAATGAATTCTTGTGTCCATTCCCGAAGGGCACTCACGACGGAGGCTAACACCAGGGAAGCCCTATCAAATAAATATAGTTTACAAGAGAGTTAAAGAGAGAGAAATGCTGGCTATCTCTCAGATGCCATGAATTGTGCAGTTTTCAAGTAAGAGAGGAGATAATTGAACAAACTTCCACCCGATAGGCCAGGGAAGTAAACTGCCTATAGAGGCAAAGCTATTTCCACCCCACCATGACTCAAACCTGGGACACTGTCTTTCATGAATGATACCCTCACCATCTGAGCCATGGAACCAGGCCAAACCTGGAAGGGAAAGTGCGTGTGGCAGGTGTCCCCCCCCCCCCCCCCGGGATCCGCCCCTGAGTAAGAGAGTGTGTGTATGAGTACCGCTTTGTGTGTGCGTGCGTGTGTTAGAGAGAGCATGTGTGTGTGTGTGTGTGTGTGTGCACGTTTGAGAGATAGAGTGTTGGTGCAAGTGTATGTTTGGTGTGTAGGAGATTGAGAGAATGAGTATTGTGTGTGTACTGTGGATCTGGTGTATGCGTTTGTCCCCCCCCCCCCCCCACCCCCACCCCACCCCCTCTGCCGAAAGCCTGCCGGAAGGCTATCTTCTTGCGAACCATTTGGAAATAGGGCTAGTTTCTGCTCCACAGTCCAGTGTTTCGTTACTATGATACCTCTCATGGTTGAAGCTGGTGTGTTTGTTAGGTCTGGGTTGTCAGCACTCAGTAGCCGAGGCTGGTTGTTAAAGTAACTCCAATATCACTGGTACCAGCGTATCTAGTGTCCGCTTCGCTGGTTTTGTAGATTTGACAGTTATCCGACGCTAGAGTTAATCTGTCTTATTCAGATCTTGTCTACTATCGTTGTTAAAAGAGGAAATCTGTGTTTGCACATCCAGTACATTTGTGTATTTGCGTGCTTCTCTGTCTCTCTCTCTCTCTCTCTCTCTCTCTCTCTCTCTCTCTCTCTCGTTCTCTCTCTCTCCCTATCTCACCCTCTCTGTCACTCTGTCTCTCTATCTCTGTCTCTCTCTCTGTCTCTGTCTCTCTCTCCCCACCCGTCTCTCTCTCTGTCTCTCTCTCTGTCTTCCTTTCTCTCTCCCTCTGTCTCTATCTATCTATCTATCTATCTATCTATCTCTCTCTCTCTCTCTTTCGCTCTCCGTCTCCCCGTCTGTCTGTCTGTCTGTCTGTGTGTCTATGTGTCTGTGTGTGTGTGTGTGTGTGTGTGTGTGTGTCTGTCTGTCTGTCTGTCTGTCTGTCTGTCTGTCTGTCTGTCTGTCTGTCTGTCTGTCTGTCTGTCTGTCTGTCTGTCTGTCTGTCTGTCTGTCTGTCTGTCTTTCTGTCGGACTGCCTGATTCTCTGTCTTTCTCTGTCACTCTGTCTCTCTATCTCTCCGTCTCCCTCTCTCTCTTCCATAAGAAAGCATGCATTCGTATCAATTCATATTCTCAGACTGATAATTTAGAAACAGAAAAGGGTGGGGAAACCTAAAAAAACAAGAATTGAGGACTGGAAGTGAACTGGCTGAAAAGAGCAAAACGCCAACACTACTAGGACTCTTTCTTTGAGCCATGCTCGTCTTGTGAATGCTCTTCCATCTGACCTACATGACTAGAATAAACCTAGAATGGGGTGACACCATAAACAATCCAAATGCAGCTCCCCACACGTGATGTGAAAGAAAATATCTTTTCATGGAAGTAGAATGACCAATTTTGTTTTCCTTTCTCTACAACAAAGAATTGCTTGCCGGAATTGTTTTCCAGTCGGGATACCATTACTACTAAGGGTCCCAACCAAGGATTAAGAAATATCCAGGGTAACTGTAACATTGTGAAGTAGGTGGAAAAGGTGAAGATTAACATTCTTGTTGCATCCGTTTCTAGGTTACCTGTGCAAGATATACCATCACCTGTGTACCCAGATCTACACGTGCATTGATGTGATCCAATTGAGTTTTTGCATGTGGCGTCAGAACTGCAATTGTTTGTACCATCTAGGCATTCATTTTGGTCTGAGAAAGATAAGTGAAATATAGTAAAACAATGAATTCTTGTGTTCACTCACGACGGCCGCTAACACCCGGTAAGCCCTGCCTTTCATGAAGGATACACTCACCATCTGACCCATGGAACCAAACCACACCTAGAAGAGGAAGTGCGTGTGGCACGTAGTTTTTGCTGCTGTTTGATTCCAAAACTTTCAACAGCTCTAAAGACATGGTTAGAGCACTCAATAGCTAAATGACTATTACTCATTTGGGAAATGACAGTGAGCTTTGTGAAGCTGGTGCGAATTGGGCAATTACGGCGATAATACAAAACTTTAAAGAAGCTAAAGAAAGGACATGGCCAGCAATCGAGGACATCTGAGAGTTGTAATTTGTGTACTCCTCCGAGGTGTGATTTTTGGCGTGCTGGGCGAAGCACAAGGAAGCCATCTGCAAAAAAACTGCAGAAAATGGTTGTTGTTTGGTCCTTTGGTGTAATCTTTGTTTCTATTCGAAGCTTGTTGCTGTTTGGAGCAGAAACGTTGAAATTGACCTTTTTCTGCATGTACTCATGTACTCAGGCATGCAGTCTCACTCGTATTTTAGCTCTTTTTCTGGAATGGAGGCTGCTCTGCGCCCCTTGGTGAACATTTCCTGCGCTCGTGGAGCAGCTGAAAAGGACCACTGGTATGTCTGGTTCCTGGTTTGAAAGTGGAGAGTCGACTTTTGTGCCTTGAAAAAGGAGTAGAGAGCGATAAAGGTACGTCTGTGGCTTATTTTTGAGTGCTCCTCGTACATTTTTGATCGTGATAGAAATTCTCAGACCAAAGTCATACCAAAGTCTGATGGCCGTACAGTTTTCTTGTGGATTTTTTAGTTGTTTCATCTCGTATCTATGTCAGTATCGTGATGGTGAAGTGGAGAGGGTAATTTTCTTCCTCTAGGCTTCGTTCGGCCGACTTTGCTTCGTCCTCGTTGAAAAGTGATCCTGAAAAAAAGGTGGATTCGCAAAATTATTTTGATTTTCAATCTACGTGATGACATGCGATTCCTGGCTATGATACAATTCTTCGACCATAACATTCTGAAATATTTGGAAAAGGCTAAAACTGACGTTCTTTTTTCAACGGTTTCACACTTACCTGTGCAAGATATACCATCACCTGTGTACCCAGATATACACATGCAATGATATGATCCAATTGAGTTGTTGCATGTGGCATTAGAACTGCAATTGTGTTTATCACCTAGGCATTCATTTTGGTCTGCGAAAGATAAGTGAAACAGATTAGGCGGGAGAGTATTACAGAGAGAAAACACGTTGAAAATATTGTGTGTGTAATACAGGCCTTAACAATTTTATCACATTTTTGAACCTTGAAACGTAGACTACTGTCATTGCACTACGATGGATACGAGGCGAAAACAGTCTAAAAAGGAAAGGAGAAATACATGTACATGTACGAAGAAAAATAGAATGATTCGAACTACAACCTTCTCGAGGATCAACGTTGCACCAAAGAACAAATCAGAACAAATGAAATAAAACAGCAAGCAAGGCAAAGTCAGGAGGACACAAGAACAGCAGTAAAATGTCAAGGTGTGATTTCTCATTAAAGCGTGCACCAAAAAACAGGGTATTACAACTAAGTGTGGCATGTGTGTATCTGCCCCAACAATGTGAGACTGAAGTAGAAAAAGGATGACCAAAACCTCATGGCAGGGAGTAGTGAAAACAACCGCGCCACAATTACCCAGAAAACAACACTTGAACAATACTAGTTCCTCGTTATGCCCCGCAACAAAGAAGTCTCAAAAAGAGGTTTACCCAAAATCGATTTTCTTGCGGCTCTCTCCTGTAGATTTTCGTGAGGAGGCCATAATGACAGCAGTAAATGTCAACGTGTGATTTGTCACGAAAGTGTAAAGTCAGTCAACATTGGGGGGGGGGGGGGGGAGTCGAGAGCGCGTGCGTAATGTTTGTGGTAGCAGATCCTCAGTATACAGTTATCTGGTGTGTAGTCATGATTGTTGCAGTACATAATACACATTATGATGTTATTATTCTGATTCAAGCTTTTCTGTTTTGTGCCATGCTCGTCATGGTTATGTGTTGCAGTTAAAAGTGCTAGAAGCTTTTTATCAGCGCATTCATAAGCCCAATTTGTGAGTCCAAAAAGATAGTTTTATTATTCTTAAATTGTTCCAGTGATGTTTTTGCTTTATTGTGGCGAATTTGTTCCCATTTCGTCCTGTCATGTGTTTTTTGTTGTCATCTTTTATCTTCTTCTTTATTGTCACATTGCTGTGGCTCATACGCTCATGCAACGCTTACACGTAGATGTTCATTTACTCTTCATCATTTTGTCGGAACCAGGTCTCCGGACCTGGTGAGGAGGCAGAAATGCCTTTTCACTTGGTGAAGTAAAATAAAATAAACAAACAAACTTGGTCTTTCTCTTTTGTATAAACAAACAAACCCTGTATATTTGTGCACACTTTCGTGAAAAATCACACTTTAGTACAATCTTGAATCCTTATGAGTGTTGTATGAAAACTAGTTCCAATAGTCTTTTTTTTCTAACATGGAATTAGTGGGCACAAGTCATCCCATCAAGTCCACCAACTAAACTTGATTTTGAACAGTCAGACGTGCACAATCTAGCACAATGAAGTGGAATGTCTCAGTATTCCTTGTCAGTTTCGCATAATTTGGGCCCACAATTTCCCTGTTACAAAATTTGATTTCCTTGCCTCACCCCCTAAGTTCTTAATCCTGTTTTTCATCCGTTTTTTAAAGTTTTTTCATACATGTATTTCTCCTTTCCTTTTTAGTTTGTTTTTGGACCGTGTCCATTGCTTAGCATTGCTGCTACCATTGCTGTTCATGAACTATTTCTAGACAAGGAAGAGCATCTCCAGTCATTCCAGGTCTTCAGCCACACAGTGGCTGAAGACCTGGCATGTACTGAAAATCCATTTCCATCACGCCAACCGCTCTGCTCCCTGACCACCATCCGTCGTACTGAACGATACAAACCTCACAGTTGCACCAAGCCTGAATTGTTCTATCTTACATTCGCCTTGTTCTTTAGAGCAACGTTGATTCCTGATGAGTGTTGTCGTGTGACGAAAATTAGTTCGATTAATCCCTTTTCTATCGCTTTCTAAAAGTTTTTTTATACATGCATTTCAATATCGCAATCCTCTCTGATCGCCCTTTAAACTCAAGGACCGGCTTTAGCGCACCCTGGGGTTGTGCCACTCGTCTCTGTTTGCAACTCTCCTTTTAGAACATAGCAATCACTCCATGCTGCTGCCCCGGCTCAAATGGCCTTCATGTACTTGGTCCGCTCAGTTACAATTGGCGCTTATCTTCTCACTTGGTTTCTTGGTGTTCTGCCTGTGCCACACGGCATGGAACCACCGATTCACCATCCGAACATGACCATTGACCATTGCATCCGACGACATGGCAGCACAAACCATCACAAAAGTTGTGATGGGTTCGTTTGAGTCTTTTTGACGGAGCTGCCGCCGACGAACACTTCCGTCAGCACAAGAAAACACTGCAACCTCCGCTCGAGTCCGTAAAATAGGTCAGGATGTTCGCATTTCAGAGCGATGGAGAATACAGTTTCTGTCTACTTCCAGCTGTCTGATGGCAAGGATTGTTCACCCCGGGGAGGTATAGAAAAGCTGAAAAAGCGCTTCGCGAGCTTGAATAATTTCAGTGCTTCCACAGTACAGCGCCTAGTGAAGGGCTATCACCAGCAAATCGCTGACGAAGAAACTGCAGCTCATGTCGATGTCTCCAGTAAGTGAGACCAATCCGGCGGACACACTTTGAAGCTCACAGAGGACAGGGCAAAGGAGCTAATCAAAGGGAACACCAAGTCCAAAGAGAAACACTCGTGCAAAGGACTTTCAGAAAACTAGCCGAAAAGCCTGGTGCACGGCGTTGTAGGTGCAGTGCGCACAGGTGCTACATCAAGCGGAAGCTATCACTGCGGTGCATGTACAAGCACCAGCGGCTCGCGTGGGTACAGGTGCTGATCAGCAAGTACGACAAGCGCAAGGGGCGATTTGAAAAAAGGACACTGGTATGGCGTTGCCTATATGTCTCAAACAAAGTCGCATTATTGCGACGAACAGGGATAACACTTACAGTCAACATGCGGGCAGTCTCACTCAGCTTCTGATGGGAAGGTGACAGGCACGCACTACCTTTGAGCGTGATTCGAGACGAGGAGAAGTGGAACAAGCTATGAAACGACCCATGCAGCAGCTGTCCGGATCGTACGATTTGAGCTCTTCCTCCAGCGACGATAGTGGCGAGGAGGATGTGTAACCTGGTATTTTGCTTGAATTTTCGACTGAGTTGCTTACTGACATGTAAATAATCATGTATATAGTGCTTTGTGATCGTGGCTTGCTTCAAATATTCGTATTTCTTTCCTGAGACAAGTGTGAAGATAAGCGCCAATTTTAACTGGGCGGACCAAGTCGCAGCTGCCATAATCTCTACTGATCGTCTGTCGAATCATTCAACAGCAACACGAGAGTTTGGAGTGGCTCTCACTCCGGCGCAATGAGATAACTGGAGATTTCCTGGAAACCGTTCGTGGTGCGCTGAGTCAATGCCGACGACTGGAGAAGCTGTACCTGGACGACGACTGCCTTTCGTCGGGAGCTCTGTCGGTGCTTGCGTCCCTGCTGCCCAGTCTGCCAAAGCTCTCCAAGCTCAAAATGGCGAGGAATGATTTCCGAGACGCTGACGACGAAACAAAGCTGTTCGCCGCCGCTGCTGAGAGCTGCTCGTCTCTGAAGGACCTGAGGATGCCTAAACGAGCTCTAGTGTCTCCAGGGCTGCGTGAATCTTTAAGTGCCATGGCTAGAGGTGATCAGAATGTGCAGTATTTCGGAGGTCGCTGGTACGACGAAGTGGAGAATGACGAAGAAGACGATGAGTACGACGCTGAAGGAGATAGTGAGAGTTGCTTCCAGACCAACGCTGTCAACATCCAGCTTCAGTTCAATCAATGCATTCTTTCCCGTGGTTCCCGTGCTTAATGATGCAGATTAAACTCCCAAAGACTAGGAATCTGGAAAAGCAAGGGAGCCAAAAAGTACCAACGCATACCCCTCAGCCCCTCCCCCCCCCCCCCTTCCCACACACACACACACACACACTCTAGCTATGGTTAGGGTTAGGGTTAACTTCATTCCCAGCCGCATGCTGACGGAAAGAGGCAGATCACTGAAGAGGAAGAGGAGGGATTCGTCGGACTCTAAATCGTCATCGTCTTCTTCACGGTCGTCGTCGTCGTCCTCCTCCTCCTCCTCCTCGGATTCTAGCAGGTCTAGATCCCCGAAGCGCAGAAGAAAACCTGATGTCTCAGGCTGGAAGACAACGAGCTATGCAAAGCAGTTCGTGCTGAATACACAAGCTCTATTTGGCCTTTCACATTATCATACCAATAACAATTGTAACATACCTTTGCAGGATGTGCCGTCACCTGCAAACCCAGCGTTACATGTGCAGTTGTAGGAACCAATCGTGTTGGTACAAGTAGCATTGGAGCCGCAATTGTGAGTCTGATATAGACACTCATCTTGATCTAGACCACCAGCCAGGTTGAAACATAAGAAGTACATGTATACGTAGGAGGGACAAATCAAATTCACTTCTCCCAAGAGTAGTGTCATCGGCAAATAAGACCACATCAGTAGTGACATCAGACGATATGGTGCGAGGAAGGGCATTAATGTAGAGAATGAAAAGAATGGGGCCAATGTGAGATCCCTCGGGAACGCCTGCAGAAACTGGTTGGGTCGCCGACTTGGCAGAGAGAACTTTGACACAGAAGGAACGGTCTGTGAGGTAGTTGGTGAACCAAGAAACGACTTCAGGGGATATGATAGTAGCATGCTGACGGAAAAGAACAGTGTGCGGTACCTTGTCAAACGCTTTCGCAAGATCCAAGAATAGAGCGTGGTAGTCAGTGCGCTTGTCGAGTGCTTCAGCCACTCTTGAAGACAGGACAATTAGCTGATTGAGTATCGACTTGCACGAGACAAAGCCATCCTGGTGGTCGGTAATTAATCCCTGCCTATTGAGGAAGCTGGTGAGGTGCTCGGCGATGATGGCGTCCAGAATCTTAGTTATGGCCGGCAGCAGGGAGATAGGCCTGTAGCTAGGTGGCACCGCAGGTTTGCCGTTCTCATTGTAGATAGGTATGACTGTAGCCAACTTCCAGTCACTAGGTAGCTGCCCGAGGCGGAGACTAGTGTTGAAGAGGTGGCACAGGGACTGCATTATCACGGGTGCCACTTCTCTCAGTATCATTTTCGTGATATAACCGCCCACAGACTTGTGCTTCGGCAGAGTGCGCAGCTTGCGGAAGACTTCGTGCTGGGTTATGTTTGGCAATTGAAACTGGATATCTGGTGTAAATTGTGCTGGCGGTGGGGTGGTAGCACACGGGTCAAATGACGGATTTGGGGAGAACTTGATTTTGAAGCAAAAGGGCCAGTGCTTCTGCTTTAGAAGAATCACAAGCCGCATCTCCAAAATCATCAACAGGAGTCGGGAAGGTCGCTGGCTTCTCGCTGATCTGGGCAATTTTCTTGGCCTCGGCCCACCATTTGTAACAGTTTTTGTCGCTATGAATACGCGAGCAAAGCTCTGCAAAATAGAGGGACTTGCTGCGTTTAAGAATGCATAGGAGTGCCAAGAGTGCCAGGCGCTTTCTATACAACTGGCGCCATCTATACACTCGCGGAGAGGCTGCAGCCAGAGGTCCGCTCGAATAGCCTCAAAGTCGGTGTGTGCGTAATCCGGTACCACTATCTGCCCACGAGTTTGCTGTCTGAGTTGCCTCAGTTGAATGTTGCAGAGTACTGGACAGTGGTCGGAGAGCGGAGGCAGCACTTCAGGAGTGGTGACTAGATGGGGACTATTGGTGATGACAAGGTCAAGCAGAAACGGAGGCGATCTACCTGTTGGCGCGTAACGAGTGGGTGTGTGGGTGACGAGTTGGAGAAGACCCAAGTCATCCAGCTTGGCGATCAGTTTTCGGCCTTCTGTAGTATCTGGGTCGGACTGGAGCCAACAGGACATTCTGCAATTCAAGTCGCCGATCAGAATGATGGGATATAGGAGTTGTCAAGGTGTCGGGCGACAGTGGCAGGGAAATTATGGAAACAAGTTTCGCGCAATGAAGAACCAGAATGCTGTCTATTTATTGTGCGTCCCGGGCTGTGCAATTTTCATTTAAGGGGGAAGATAAATGTACAAACTTCAAAGTGGAAATCCAAGGGAGTAAATAGACTATGGAGACAGTACTATCTCCTCCCCACGAAGATTCAAACCTGGGGTCCTGCCTTTCATGAATGATACACTCACCATCTGAGTCATGTAACTAGGCAAGACGTAGAAAGGAAGTGCGCGTGCCACGTGGTTTTAGCTACTGTCTGATTACAAGACTCTCAACAGCTCTATATACCGTATTTTCCGGGGTATAAGCCGCACCGGGGTATAAGCCGCACCCCCCTTTTTGAGGCAAAATATTGACTAAAAGTTGGTATTCGGAGTATAAGCCGCACCCACAAACCTAGATTTTTCACACTCATTGACAAATGGCCTTTCTACAAATTTATTATGGTTATGGAGCTAAATACCATGTTAGATCAGATTATGAAAAATAGAGTCCCCGTATACGCGTACCGTATGGTGTAGCCCGCGCACTAAAACTAGTAAAAGTGCTGGGATAGCAACACAGGCGCAAAGCTGATTCGAACAACATGTCACATGACGTCAGCATGCATACTGATGTATGCTAAGCATTCATTCGCGCAAGCATATTCGGTGTATAAGCCGCAGGGGCGATTTTGGTCCGATTTTTAGCGAAAAAGTGCGGCTTATACCCCGGAAAATACGGTACTTGGTCCGCGTCAGCGATATTGTCGCTTATCTTTCAGCTTTGTTTATATGTCGCCAATGCTTACTTGGCAGCCCATTTTTATCCCAATTTTGGTTAGCAAGTTAGTTTGCTAGTACCTGAAAGGTCTAGCTAGAGTTCGAGTGGATTTCGAGAGCGACATGTGGGTGATTCTGATTGATACAGCGCCGCATCAAAATAGATTATCTTGTTACGCTGTGCAGGCAAGAGCAGCGCAAGCCACAAGAAAGTAATCGGCTACTCAGAATCAGCTCCATTTTGCTGAACGGCCGAGATTGCTCACCTCAGGGATCGCTCATCAAGCTGAGATCGCAGCTCCCTTACCTCGAGCTCCTCCCTCTGATATGAGTATCCAGCGCGTCGTGGAGATTTGCAAGTACATGACTGTACTGTACGCGTCGTCGTCGTTCAAAATAAAATCTTTCAAAGAACGGCGTCTGATTTGAACCACACAGGCTGTCGTGCTGCCCAGGCGAAGTCCTATAGAGAAGGCGACCATCACGATCGACTTCTCTTTAGAAAATAGCCAGGCAGCGGAGAGGAAGAGAGATGAGCTTGCAAAAGCAAGAGAGTCGATCCCGAGCAAAAATATTTGTCGCCAGCGCCGAGAGCAGCGACGAGGAGGACCGAAAAAAGTAGGAACCCTTCCTTGGACAATAAATTCCTCGCAGCTAGTTGTCATTCTATACCTTACCGTCCATCGTACCAAGTTTTAACACTTCAAGTGCACGCGTTCATGTCCAAAGTCTAAGTTCAAATTGTCGAAAGATAAGCGACAATATTGCTGACGCGGACCAAGTAGATGAAATCGTTAGAACCTACAATAATTAAATGTCTATTACTCATTTGGGAAAAAAACAGCAAAACAAATTTCAACGGCTTCTCGCTTACCTGTGCAAGATATACCATCACCTGTGTACCCAGATTTACACGTGCAATGATATGATCCAATTGAGTTGTTGCATGTGGCACCAGTACTGCAGACGTGTGTACCATCTTGGCATTCATTTTGGTCTGAGAAAGAGAAGTGAAACATAGTAAACAGGAAGGTATTACAGAAATAAAAACGAGGAAAATTATGAGTGTGTAATCCAGGCCTTTTTAATTTCCACGAGCAACTTGAAACTTAGAGAACTGTGATTGCACTAACACTTTAATGTACGGGCTAAATGTACGGAGACAAGTTTTCAATTCAACTAACCTCACAACAGACTGTACATGTGCACTGTGTTGGTATAAGGCGCATAATTGAGATTCGTGAATCATTGTTAAACGGCTAACTTTAATGAAGGTGATTTGTTAGTGATCTTAGCAAAACAAGACTTTTAGCCAAGGATTTGTCACCCCAAAGTTTTTCGAATGCTTCAACTAAGACTACCTAACCTCTTCAGCGGCATTGGAATACTTTACTAAGCAATGCCAAACGATGGATACGAAGACAGTCCAAAAACGAAAGGAGAAATACATGTTCATGCATGAAAAAAGCGTTGGAAAAAAAGAATGATTCGAACTACAACACTCTTCAAGAATCATCGTTGCACCAAAGAACAAATGAGAACAAATGAAATAATACAGCAAGCAAGACAAAGTCAAGAGGACACAAGAACAGCAGTAAATGTCAAGGTGCGATTTCTCATGAAACCGGGCACGAAAAAGCAGGGTATGACAACTAAGCGTTGCATGTGTGTATCGGCCCCAACAATGTGAGACTGAAATAGAAAAAGAATGACCAAAACCTCATGGCAGGGAGTAGTGAAAACAACCACGCCACAATTACCCTAAACACAACACTTGAAAAAGTCTAGTTCCTCCGTAAATGGCCCGCAACAAAGAAGTCTCAATAGAGGTTTACCCAAAAATTGATTTTCTTTCGGCTATCTCCAGTAGAGTTTCGTGAGGAGGCCCTAAAAAATTAAAAAAATTCACGGTTCGCGTGAGACTCGGCTGGAAGCCGGGCTTTCCGCATCCGTAGGAACGCCACCACCCTTCAAGGATCAAGGCGCAAGATGCAGCTCCTAAAGCGGTGGGAGGTGAGTATGAGGGCATAATGATAGCAGTAAATGTCAACGTGTGATTTGTCACGAAAGAGTGAAGGCAGTCAACATTGGGGGGGGGGGGAGTCGAGAGCGCGTGCGTAACGTTTGTGGTAGCAGATCCTCAGTATACAGTTATTTGGTCTCTAGTGCAAACTAGTGAATAATAATAATTATTAATATTATTATTTGAAGTGAGGGCTGCGTCACAACCGCCTGTGTGGATTCACAGGAAGTGTGAGTTACGAAGTCTGAAGAAAATGTTGAACGGCCTCTGCTGGGATGACGGCTACACCATAGCTCAGTGGTTAGAGCATCGCTGGCTACAAGCGAAGGTCCCTGGTTCGAGTCCTGGTGGTTACAGCCAATTTTTTCTTCAGACTTTTCCCGTTTGTCTCTTTCCCTCAAACCAGTTAATAATAATAATAATAATAATAATTCAAAGGATCAGTCGGGGAAGTGAACTGCCTGAAAAGAGAAAAAAAACGCCAGACCCACCAGGACTCGAACCTGGGACCCTGCTTGTCATGAGCAATGCTCTAACCACTGAGCTATGAGACCAGGCTGAACCTAGAAGACGCCGACAAGTTTTTCACTCCAAAGGCAGCTCACAACACATGAACATACTGATGGCACTTGGGTCTTCCCCCCCCCCCCACCCCCCCCCCCCCCCCCCAGGGGACCAACCACGGTCAGTTTGAAAGAAAGTGATCAAATTTGGAAAGGATTGGGAGAACTTCAAATTCAAAGGATCAGCCGGGGAAGTTCTTTCCAAATTTCTTCACTTTCTTTCACCTCAGGTAGTTGTGTAGTTTCCAGAAACTTACCGTGGTTGGTCCCCTGGGGGAGGGAAAGAGACCCAAGTGCCATCAGTATGTGTGGCACGTGTTGTGGTGGGTCTGGCGTTTTTTTTCTCATTTTTTTCATACATGCACTTCAATAGCGCAATCCTCTCTGATCGCCCTTTAAACTCAAGGACCGGCTTGAGCGCACCCTGGGGTGTGCCACTCGTCTCTGTTTGCAACTCCCTTCTTTGAACATAGCAATCACTCCGTGCTACTGCACCGGCTCAAATGGCCCTCATGTAGCAGCTGCCAAAATCTCTACTGATCGTATATCGAATCATTCAACAGCAACACGAGAGTTTGGAGTGGCTCTCACTCCCTCCGGCGCAATGAGATAAGTGGAGATTTCCTGGAAACCGTTCGAGTCAATGCCGACGACTGGTGAAGCTTAACCTGGACGACAACTGCTTTTCGTCGGGAGCTCTGTCGGTGCTTGCGTTACTGCTGCCCAGTGTGCCAAAGCTCTCCAAGCTCAAAATGGCGAGGAATGATTTCCAAGACGCTGACGACGAAGCAAAGCTGCTCGCCGCTGCTGCTGAGAGCTGCTCGTCTCTGAAGGAGCTGAGGATGCCTGAACGAGCTCTAGTGTCTCCACAGCCGCGTGAATCTTTAAGGTCCATGCCTAGAGATGATCTGAATGTGCAGTATTTCGGGGGTCCCTGGTACGACGGAGTGGAGAATGACGAAGAAGACGATGAGTACAACGCTGAAGAAGACAGTGAGAGTTGCTTCCAGACTAACGCTGTCAACATCCAGCTTCAGTTCAATCAATGCATTCTTTCCCGTACTTCCCGTGCTTAATGATGCAGATTAAACTCCCAAAGGAATCTGGAAAAGCAAGGGAGCCACAAAGTACCAAAGCATACCCCCAGCAGCCCCCCCCCCCCCCACACACACAAACACACACTCTCTAGCTAGGGTTGGGGTTAACCCTTTCAGCCCTGACCGGAAAATCACCTCCCACTGGGCCAAAAATGGCAATTTTTGAAAATGCATATTCTGGTCCAAAATTGATTGGAGATGTTGGGTATGGACATATGCACTGTGAATCCAAAGAAATTTTGTAGAATTTCATTGTACGAGACTCATAACACCATATTTAGATATGCGACTTTTGGCGATTTTTCCTCAAAATTCATTCAATTTAGGCAATTGACGACAAAGATCAGACAAGCAATGGCAAGCAGTGCTATAACTGGTCAGTGTTGACTTCAGAATGGAGAAATGTCATATAACAAGCTTGATATGACCCTGGTGTTCTACGGCAACCTAGACTAGAGTACAGCAACTCGTTTTATACGGCGCTTGAATCATATGCGACTGCGCGATCCAGAATGGGTCTTTCTTTTTTCTTGGGCGCCTCGTAAAGCTTGAATCCTCCAGCAGCCCTACCTACTTCAAGACAAAACCATGTGATGGACAGTGAGGATGCCGAGTAACTGGAGTAGCAACCACAGCAACTGCATCGGCTATAATAGCAGCCGGTGCAGTGGCAGCGGTTGGCTCACTGTGCTCGGCGCATCCCAGGGTGAATCATCACTGGCCGCACGCGTACGTACGTACGTACGTACGCGGCACAGGTAAAGTCATATTGATAGAGAATGCAATACAGCTCATTCTCTGATTTGGACACTCACTGGCAAGACAATCCAGCTACCAAAATAGTCTGAAGCATTCCCTAAACAGCCGAGTGCATACTGCGTACCGGTGTACGTACGCATGAAAATTCAAGAAACAATCGGCTGTGCAATTTCTGATAGTGGTTCAAAATTGCACAATTGTTGACTATTCGGGATTATTCTGGATTCATATTAGATAGCAATCACCATCCTGTAGGTGCCTGGCTCTGTACTCAACATACAATACTTACATGTATGCACATCTCTATTGTGATCTGCATGCATGTCTGACCAGTACACTTGATTTCAAATTCAAATATTTTCAAAATTCTGACCTTCAAATTTGATCGCAGCTTACTTGAGGAACTTCAGCAAACGGGCTCACGACAGATAGCTCCTGCTCAGAACACCATGCCTAGGTGTCAGAGACTTCAGCATCGCTTTCCAAATCTCTTTGGTCTCCAGCATCCCCTGCGTCCGAGCCAGCTGCGATCTTTTGAATAGCAGCAAATTCGTAATCCTCAGAAAACGACTCCGACACAATTTCGCTGTCTCCAGAATCATCCTCAGAGTCATTACCCGCCTCACACTGCTTCACAGGACTCCTTCCAACGACACAGAGTAGTTGAGCTACTTACCTTGCCGAGAAACAGCAGGGCAAGATAACGAAAACGAACTTTGAGCAAAACAATTTATTTGAACGATATGCCAAAATACGCACTTCAAACTCGATGCTCGCGGCTGTTCTGCTGTGCAGACTGGCCACATACGCTGCGTACACGTCGATCAGGTCCTTCAGCCCACTGAGGAACAGTTCCGGGCCCCACTGATGCTGAGGCATCAGTACAAACGCGACGTACACCGAGGACGTATATATACGTCGTCAGTGGGGCAGGTGCACACGTCATGACGTATATATACGTCGACAGTGGTGAAAGGGTTAAGGTTAACTTCATTCCCAACAGCAAGCTGGAGGAAAGAATCAGATCACTGAGACGGATCACTGAAGAGGAAGAGGAGGGATTCGTCGGACTCTAAATCGTCATCGTCTTCGTCACGGTCGTCGTCGTCGTCGTCCTCCTCCTCCTCCTCCTCCTAGGATTCGAGCAGGTCTAGATCCCCGAAGCGCAGAAGAAAACCTGATGTCTCAGGCTGGAAGACAACGAGCTTCGCAAAGCAGTTCGTCCTGAATACACAAGCTCTATTTGGCCTTTCATATTATCATACCAATAACAATTGTAACATACCTTTGCAGGATGTGCCGTCACCTGCAAACCCAGCGTTACATGTGCAGTTGTAGGAACCAATCGTGTTGGTACAAGTAGCATTGGAGCCGCAATTGTGAGTCTGATATAGACACTCATCTTGATCTAGACCACCAGCCAGGTTGAAACACAAGAAGTACATGTATATGTAGGAGGGACAAATCAAATTCACTTCTCCCAAGAGTAGTGTCATCGGCAAATAAGAGCACATCAGTAGTGACATCAGACGATATGGTGCGAGGAAGGGCATTAATGTAGAGAATGAAAAAAATGGGTTCAATGTGAGATCCCTGGCGAACGCCTGCAGAAACTGGTTGGGTCGGCGACTCGGCACAGAGAACTTTGACACAGAAGGAACGGTCTGTGAGGTAGTTGGTCAACCAAGAAACAGCTTCAGGAGATATGAAAGTATCGAGCTGACGGAGAAGAACAGTGTGCGGTACCTTGTCAAACACTTTCGCGAATTCCAAGAATAGAGCGTGGTAGTCAGTGCGCTTGTCGATTGCTTCAGCCACTCTTGAAGACAGGAAAATTAGCTGATCGAATGTCGACTTGCAGGAGATGCTGGTGGTCGGTAATTAATCCCTCCCTATTGAGGAAGCTGGTGAGGTGCTCGGCGATGATGGCGTCCAGAATCTTAGCGATGGCCGGCCGCAGGGAGATAGGCCTGTAGCTACCTGGCTCCCGCAGGTTTGCCATTCTCTTTGTAGATAGGTATGACTGTAGCCAACTTCCAGTCACTAGGTAGCTGCCCGAGGCGGAGACTAGTGTTGAAGAGGTGGCACAGGGGCTGCGTAATCACGGGTGCCACTTCTCTCAGTATCACGTTCGTGATATAACCGCCCACGGACTTGTGCTTGGGCAGAGTGCGCAGCTTGCGGAAGACTTCGTGCTGGGTTATGTTTGGCAATTTAAACTGGAGATCTGGTGTAAATTGTGCTGGTGGTGGGGTGGTAGCACACTGGTCAAATGACGAATTTAGGGAGAACTGGATTTTGAAACAAAGGGCCAGTGCTCCTGCTTTAGAAGAGTCACAAGCCGCATCTCCACAATCATCAACAAGAGTCGGGATGGTCGCTCGCTTCTCGCTGATCTGGGCAATTTTCTTGGCCTCGGCCCACCATTTGTAACAGTTTTCGTCGCTATCAATACGCGAGCAAAGCTCTTCGAAATAGAGGGACTTGCTGCGTTTTTAAAAGAATGTTTGTAAGAGCATTTCTCGCCATCTCGTATGCTATCCAGTCTTCCAGTGCTTTCGTTCTCTGGGTTAATTTGAAAATACAGTTTTTGTTCCGGTGCATTCGCTTGTGCTGGGCAGTGAACCAAGGCTTCGTGGTCTGCTTTCTTCTCGGCTTCAATGTTCGCATGGCCAAGTGGCACTGGATACTCTCATTGGCATAGGAATGCCAAGAGTGCCAGGCGCTTTCTATACAACTGGCGCCATCTATACACTCTCAGAGAGGCTGCAGCCAGAGGTCCGCTCGCTTAGCCTCAAAGTTGTTGCGTGCGTAATCCGGTACCACTACCTGCTCACGAGTTTGCTGTCTGAGTTGCCTCAGTTGAATGTTGCAGAGTACTGGACAGTGGTCGGAGAGCGGAGGCAACACTTCAGGAGTGTTGACTAGATGTCGAGTATTGGTGATGACAAGGTCAAGCAGAGACGGAGGCGATCGACCTGTTGGCACGTAACAAGTGGGTGTGTGGGTGACGAGTTGAAGAAGACCCAAGTCATCCAGCGTGGCGATCAGTTTCCGGCCTTCTGTAGTATCTCGGTCGGACTGTTTCTTTCCAGTCGGGATATAGTTAGGGGTCCAATCCATGATTGAGAAATATCCAGCGTCTTTCGGGCAATGAAGAACCAGAATGCTGTCCATCTATTGTGCGTCCAGGGCTGTGCAATTTTCATTTAAGGGGGAAGATAAATGAACAAACTTCAAAGTGGAAATCCAGGGGAGTGAATTGCCTATTGAGACAGTACTATGTCCACCCCACGAAGACTCAAACCTGGGGTACTGCCTTTCATGAATGATGCACTCAAGTTCTGAGCCATGGAACCAGGCAAGACCTAGAAGGGAAGTGCGCGTGCCATGTGGATTTAGCTGCTGTGCGATTTCTAAACTCTCAAAAGCTCTATATAGATGAAATCATTAGAACCTTCCATTAACTAAATGGCTATTACTCATTTGGGAAATAACATCAAAAAAATTTCAACGGTTTCTCGCTTACCTGTGCAAGACATACCATCACCTGTGTACCCAGATTTACACGTGCAATGATATGATCCAATTGAGTTGTTGCATGTGGCACCAGAACTGCAGGCGTGTGTACCATCTTGGCATTCATTTTGGTCTGAGAAAGAAAAGTGAAATAATTATATTAAACAGGAGGGTATTACAGAAATAAAAACGAGGAAAATTATGAGTGTGTAATATATGCCTTTATAATTTCAACGCGCGCCTTGAAACTTAGAGAACTGTGACTGCACTACCCCTTAAAGGTACGGGCTAAATGTACGGAGACAAGTTTTCAATTCAACTAACCTCACAACAGACTGCACATGTACACTGTGTTGGTATAAGGCGCATAATTGAGATTCGTGAATCATTGTTAAACGGCTAACTTTAATGAAGGTGATTTGTTAGTGATCTTAGCAAGACAAGACTTTTAGCCAAGGATTTGCCACCCCAAAGTTTTTCGAATCATAGCCAGCAATCGCATGTCATCTCGTACATTGAAAATCAACATAATTTTGCGAATCGACCTTTTTTTCAGGATCACTTTTCAACGAGGACGAAGAAAAGTCGGCCGAACGAAGCCTAGAGGAAGAAAATCACCCTCTCCACTTCACCATCACGATACTGACATACATACGAGATGAAATAACTAAAAAATTCACAAGAAAACTGTACGACCATCTTTGGTCTGACTTTGGTCTGAGAATTTCTATCACGATCAAAAATGTACGAGGAGCACTCAAAAATCAGCCACAGACGTACCTTTATCGCTCTCTACTCCTTTTCAAGGCACAAAAGTCGACTCTCCACTTTCAAACCAGGAACCAGACATACCAGTGGTCCTTTTCAGCTGCTCCACGAGCGCAGGAAATGTTCACCAAGGGGCGCAGAGCAGCATCCATTCCAGAAAAATAGCTAAAATACGAGTGAGACTGCATGCCTGAGTACATGAGTACATGTATGAGTACATGCAGAAAATAGTCAATTTCAGCGTTTCTGCTCCAAACAGCAACTAGCTTCGACTAGAAACAAAGATTACACCAAAGGATCAAACAACAACCATTTTCTGCAGTTTTTTGCAGATGGCTTCCTTGTGCTTGGCCCAGCACGCCAAAAATCACACCTCGGAGGAGTACAAAAATTACAACTCTCAGATGTCCTCGATTGCTGGCCATGGCTTCAACTAAGACTACCTAACCTCTTCAGCGACATTGGAACACTTTACTAAGCAATGGCAAGCGATGGACACGATGCGAAGACAGTCAAAAAAGGAAAGGAGAAATATATGTAGACGCATGAAAAATCACATCTATGGTGCAGGCTGTGTGCAAAAATGTATTTGTAGAGATTATGTCACCTGCTGAGTGACGGCCATTTGAGCCGGTGCAGCAGCATAGAGTGATTTCCAGGCTCAAAGAGTGGATGCATATAGAGACGCGTGGCACACCCCAGGGCGCGCTCAAGCCGGTCCTTGAGTTTACAGGGCGATAAGAGAGAATTGCACTATTGAAATACATGTAAGAAAAAACTTTAAAAAAGCGCTATAAAAGGGATTAGTCGAACTTGTTTTCGTACAGCACTCATCAGGAATCAACGGCGCTCTAAAGAACAAGGCGAATGTTAGATAGAACAATTCAGTCTTGGTGCGACTGTGAGGTTTGTATCGTTGAGTGCGAAGGATTGTGGTCAGGGAGCAGTGCGGTTTGTGTGATGGAAATGGATGACAGTTACTTTCAGTACATTCCAGGTTTTCACCCACTGTGTGGCTGTTGCTACAGCTGACTGCATGGAGATGCTCTTCTGTGTCTAGAAATATTTCATGAACAGCAATGGATGCAACAATGCCAAGCAATGGACACGGTGCAAAAACAAAATAAAAAGGAAATAAGAAATATTTAAACACATGGCGAGGAGACAACAATTAACCGCAATCAAAAAATATCGTTTTATTGCACATCGTCTCTACCGTTTTTTACATTGCATGAATAAAGTACACAAATGTCGGTTCAGCTAGTTTTATTGATTGCGGTTATCAAATAAGAAATACACCGTATTCTTCGCGGCAATGTCAGTTTGCTGCTCAAATCACGCCTGGAATACAGTTCGCTGCCCCGTGCCACCAGAGGTCAGGATGCCTGCAATCTGCCCCTTCCCAACATCCGCAGTACTTTGGGATCTCACAGACCAGTTTTTGCTGCTTCTAAGTTTTGGAATCTTTTGCCCTCATCCTTAACCCTTTCCGTGCTAATGACGTCTATAGACATCATGCGCGCTGTATGTCAAACGACTCATTACGTCTATAGACGTCAAGGGAGTTGCGCAGTACATCGCAGTGCATAGATCAGTGTACAAACTTTCGTAACTCCAACAAAAATAAGTCTATCGCGACAATTGATACACCGTTGGAAAGGAGCTAGTTCAGCTTTCCAGCGATACAAAGTTCTTCGCGGTAGGAGAAAGATTGACGGAGCGGCGACGGTGTGAACACAAAATTCCCGGCACTGAGCGATCGTGATTTTTTTTTGTTCATGCATTCGCAGTTTTCTGTTACGTGCCAAGGGATTTCCCTTTGGCACGGCGCATGCGTAATGGACACCAGCGGAAGCACGTGGATCCTAACTTTGCAGCGCAGTGTGAATCGTGAAAATCAGCTGACCTGGAGCAAGAAGCTGAAAAAGAATGTGAGATTGAGTTCCTGTGCCTTTCCAAGGCATCGCGAGGTAGCTTCAAGAGGACGTAGAAGCTGCACCACTGTGCATATTGAGTTTAGAGCTACCAGGATGGATTTTCTTGGTCCTGATCTTTCCAACAAGCCCAGGATGATGAAAATCCATCAAGGTTAACTGAATTGAGAGAAAAATTCGTTCGGATTTGTGCGCGAAAACGACACCAGGAGAGTCAGTGCGCTGGAAAGGCAGTTTGCTAGAGTAAAAGGGGCCAGCACGGAAAGGGTTAAAGTCATGCCCTACCACATGCCAATTCAAGCGTTTATTGAAAGTTTACTTTCTTGGCTAATGCTAGGATGTTCCCTACCCCGAGAGTTCTCCATACTCACTGTTTTCTTTACTCCACCTATCAAGGTTATCCAGATTTGAGCAAGTTACGATAATTTCAAAATGCCTACCCCATCGATCCCATTGGATCGATGCTTGTATGTACGGACAGTAAAGGGTTAAGAACTCAGATGGTGAGCCAAGGAAATCAAATTTTGTAACAGAGAAAGTGTGGGCCCAAGTTATGCGAAACTAACAAGGAGTACTGGGACATTCCACGGAATTGTGCTAGATTGTCCACGTCTGACTGTTCAAAATAAAGTTTAGTTGGTGGACTTGATCGCATGACTTGTGCCCACTAATTCCATGTTAGATAAAAAGGATTATTCAAACTAGTTTTCATACAACACTCATCAGGAATCAACGTTGTACTAAAGAAAAAATCAGAACAAAAGAAATAATACAGTAAACAAGGCAAAGTAAGAATGACACAATGACATCAGTAAATGTCAAGGTGTGATAGTAAATGTCAAGGTGTGAGTTCTCACGAAAGCGTGCACAAATAAACAGGGTTTGTTTATTTCACTGGAAAATACCGCCATTCCGGCAACAGGATTTCAGCTTCACCAAACAGATAACTGCTGCTAAAACAATAACGACAACATTAGCAACATCAACGACAAGACATGGTTATAGGAGCGGAAAGAAAAGACAATTTTGGTGGAGGAGATACTATGTATGTACCACATACAATTGCGCTCGGTGAAACCCAATCCAAAGTGCAAACCTGGCGCCCTTTACCAGTTCTGATTGCGTCATAGTAATTTGAACATACGCACGTCGTGAGTCCAGCGGATAACGCTCCGAAATGTATAATGCTAGCAATAATATTATGCGGATTTATACCCAACTCATATTAACCCCCACTAATTCCTGTGATCTATAACTGGTGAATATATCTCCATATTCACCACTTTAACTTGGGGTTAATATGGAGATATATTCACCAGTTATATGCTATATTACCCACTTAGAGGTTGTAACTTTTCAACTTTCAAGGGACTTAGAAAATTTCTCTCCAATTGAAAAAGAAAAAAATTGAAGAGAAGAAAGAAGTTTCAGCAGGAATCGAACCTGCACCCATAACATTCCCGAGGGTGTTGATGCAGATGTTGGTTGAAAGATGGGTCTTAGGTCTGGAACACGCAATGCTACCTACACATAATAGTATACTATAGTATACTGGGATACTAAAATAGCTATTTCGGACCAGTATTTTAGGCCAAAAACGAAGCTAGGTATAAATAGAATAAACACCTCTGTCTTGTGTTGATGGGAATATAAACACTGTCTAGAAAAACTGGAACACGCAATGTTACCTACACAAAATAGTAAAGTATATCCCCCACCGGGTCTACCACCTGTTATTACTATAAGACATTTTCGCTTCTCCAGTGGCTGCTCTCCATTGCAACTTGATGCAGGGCAGTGGCAGAATAGTGGAAGTATCAAATCTTTCCCCTTTATTATCCAGGTACTGAGAGGTGAAAACCATTATTGCCGGTGATCTTATGGATGCAGGAAGCTTATCATGGCTAGTGGTATTTCTGCCTCTAGACAACCTGTCACTGCTTCCACTCTGTGAAAAGTGCTATCCTAAACAGCAGACATTAGGTCAGTTCGTGAGAGATGATCATGAATCGAGATCCCTCCAACTTGCGGAAAACACGTGGTCTGAAGTTATTTTACCGCTCTACAGCCTTTGCTTGTCCTGTTTTCTTCTCCTCTTGGTGTTGTGTAGATAAATGCAGGACCAATATACTCCCTTTTTCTTAGTATTTGACTGCAGGCTTTGCATTACAACCGTCCACAACTACCAGTACCTGCTTCACTAGAAAAATCGGACACGCGCTGCTGAGAGCTTATATGGATTTAGTACTGAGTCCTTGAGTACGGGTAAGTCACTCCTCTCCGACACGTTCTACCTTCGCTGTGACTACGCTCACAAAGATAGAGTCAGCCGCTGACCAGTAAATCATCCTCATCCCCCCCCCCCCCCCAAACCCGCTGTGTAAACCGAAGCCGGACACAAATAGATTTCTTTCCTTGATGCTCATAGCTTTAATGCGCTTCCAGAATGCCTTCGCACTATTCATATCCAAAATTCATTTCTCCTGAAACTTGACACATTCTTGTGCATCTTGTGCACACTGTCAGAAGACCTTAGTCTCTGTTGGGCATGCCCAAGTACAAAACAAATACAAATACAACCCGCATTATGGTCCCGTATCAACGTGTCCGAAACATCCATCTTCTTTCGGACAATGAAGAACCAAAATGCTGTCTATCTCTCGGATGTCACAGGTTGTGCAGTTTTAAATAATTCTTTGAGGAGGAAGGACGAATATATCCGTTTTTAAGGCATAGCTGGATTCCTAAAGACAAGTATATCCATTAAAATTGAGATATTGATATATTTTTAGATGCTTGAAGTCGCTCATATGTTGCTCAGACGAGTACGATCTGATTCTTCGTCAAGGTGAGACATGTCGCAGTCGATCACTGATGTCAATGCCTCTTTAGAATCAAACTTTAGGACACTATATCAATTTTTGAAAATCCCGATTTTTTTTAGAAAAGCGCAACATACACCTAGAGTGAAGGTAATTGGACAGGGAAGTGAACTGGCGATAGAACCCAAACCATTTCAACCCCTCCAGGACTCAAAACTGAGACACTGCCTTTCATGAATAATACACTCATCATCTGAGCCATGTAACTAGGCCAGACCTAGAAGAGGAATGCATGTGGCATGTTTTAGCTGCTATTTGATTAAAAAGCTTCCAACAGCTTTGGAGACATGATTTGGTTAGAACCTTCTATAACAAGATGGCTAGTAATTATTTGAGAAATAGTACAATATAAAGAAACTGAAGAAAAGACGAAAACTAACATTCTTTTTTCATCGGTTTCTCACTTACCTGTGCAAGATACACCATCACCTGTGTACCCAGATATACATGTGCATTGATGTGATCCAATTGAGTTGTTGCATGTGGCATTAGAACTGCAATTGTGTTTGTCATCTAGGCATTCATTTTGGTCTGAGAAATAAAAGTGAAATACATTAAGCAGGGGGGGGGGGGTATTACAGAAATAAAAACGAAGAAAATACTGTGTGTGTGTGTAATACAGGCCTTAATTATTTCAAGGAGCCCCTTGAAACTTAAACAACTGTCATTGTACTATCATGCCACACAACAAAGTAGTCTCAAAAGAGGTTTACCAAAAATCGATTTTCTTTTGGCTGTCTCCACTAGATTGTCATGACTGAAGAATAATATTGTACAGCATTGTAATAAATGACTATGGTAGTGACACGATTATTCAAAAAAGTGCAAAAATAGAGCGGGAACAAAGAGGTGAGAACAATCTTAACTGCAACAGAAATAGACCATAAAAACTGAAGAAATGAGTAAATGTCCTTGACTGTAACATTCTGAAGTAGGTGGCAAAGGCAAAAACTAAACATTCTTGTTGCAAGCGTTTCTAGCTTACCTGTGCAAGATATACCATCACCTGTGTACCCAGATTTACACGTGCAATGATATGATCCAATTGAGTTAATGCATGTGGCATCAGAACTGCAAGTGTGTGTACCATCTAGGCATTCATTTTGATCTGAGAAAGGTAAAGATAAAAAATAATTATAGTAAAAAAATGAATTCTTGTGTTCATTCCCGAAGGGCACTCACGACGGAGAC